GGCTCGAGGAGGCAATAACGTTGCACGGCTTGCTTCCTCGAGTGGATAGTACGAGTTTCAAGATGGCTGTCGATCAATCTCCTTGTTACCCATGCATTGATACAGCTGTGTGTACCTGCATAAATGGAGTTATACAGGATACGCAAGGCACGATCGCATCTACGAATAGTAGCACCGTCTGGGTAATATACACTGGCATCACGGTCTGTCACTAATTAATGTGCGCCACCCTCCCAAGGTAAATGAACGTCGCTTATGAAATGCAAATTCAAACGAGCAGCTTAATTAGAAAGTAATATTCCGAATTATTCCGAAAGTTTATTTTCGATCTGGCACGCCTGAAGACGCGGCTGAAAATTGAAATATTTGTCATTGTAATTCTCTGCTGTTGCACCATCGTTCTACAGAATAGATTCTTCAATAATATTGTCCACGTTGAGTATTCATTAACAAAAATTCATTACCATTATTGTTATAATTAATCATTCGGAATAATATGAAAGAAATTCATCTTGCCTGATATGATGTAGATATATAATACTATATTTGAATTTCTTTCATATTAGTACAAACACAAAGATAAGGACAAGTGATGGCCTTTTGATCTTATTTTTGCTCTTATTTTTTGGTCTTATTAATATATCATACATGATCAAATTGTTTATCATATACATATATCATGTACATACATGTATCTATGTATGTTTTATATCACGTCACATCATACATATACAACACAGCAATACATCATACGCGATCAGGTAATGTCGACGATTTTTACAATTTATATACGAAGCCAGAAATGGCCTGAGAGGCGAGGTACGTTCACACTTCAGTTGGTGGACATGTTTTTACACCGCGGGCAGAAGCAACGGTAAAGCGAAAAGCTTCGGGCATTGTCGCGAGAAGTTTTTTGGATTTTTACGAGCAGCCAGAAACAAGTTAAGAGCAACGTTAACCATCTTCCTAGCTGACAGCAAGGATAATACCGCGCTTATTAAACACGTGCCAGGATTAAAAAGAAACTGCTTGCGCATTCAGAAATGTAATTCCCGGCCGTGCTGAACTTCTACCGTGCAAAAATATACCTACTGATGTAACTTTTTATTGCGGCGCACTTCTCCCACAAAATATGATCACTGATAAATTAACTCATACGAGCGCTAACATTAACTGATAACATTAGTGTAAAAGTCGAGGACAATATGAACGCAAATATACTCCGTACTGTCTTCGTCTTTTATATGGCAGAATTTCAAACTTAAAGTTGAGATATCTTCTAAACTGATGGATTTTCCCGACATGAACAGTTTCGTATTAAAAATTCTACCACCTTCATACAATCTGTCATCTTGATTATATAAAATTATCCATACCCATCGATTCATTCATTCCTTTATATAATACTAATACTAGTTTACTAACTCGCAACAATCGATCAGTTTATATCATTCCTATCTTTCCAAAACGAGAGGATTAATAGTCACAGATCGAATCGCGAGAACCAAGAAAACTCGGTCTCAAAGGCCGTGTGCACGTGGCCCTAACAAGCGGAAGAAGGACGCGAGCGCGAAATGCGAGCTGCGAGTTACGACGCGTCGGCGAAACGCCGGTGGAACTCGAGGAACTCGAGGAACCCTCGTCCGAAGATCAAACGTCATAACCAGTGTAATCACACACTCGCCGTCAGACGCATCGGCTAACGAGAGTGCGCCACTTGGCATTTCCGCTTAACCGTCTAGGATCGTTGACACGGACACAAACGCATCGTCGGATGCAATCCCTTAAACGCGCGCGACGTGATATTACGCTGCCGTCGCTATTAAACTGCCTTCCATCGTTCGCGCTCTCGTTCCCCGTTCGCCGTTCGCTTTCACAACCCGCTTATCCGTTTCCCTTTCCATTTGTCTTCTCCACTGCCTTGCTCGACCTCCTCCGTTTCGCACCGATATCGCCCTCTCCCCTCCCAATTCCTTGCCCGCCGATATCTCCGTCGCGCGAACTTCCTTCTTTCATTAAGCTATGCGAAACTTTCTGCTGACCCGTGGTTTCCCGGGCCGTTCACTCGCGACGGTCAACTAGACCGTTCTAATCCGGCCTAGAATTCTCTTCCGGCCGAGAATCAGGTGAAATTGAATGCGGTGGGAATCGCGCGGCTGAAACGATACGCGATGGTCCATTTGGTCGATTTAACTGGCCAAAAAGTCAATTTCAGAAGATTTTTTTTTTAGCCGTCAAATTTTTGCTGCCTCAGCTAATTGAATATCCGAGGTACAACGTACTCGGATTTCCTTTCTTATCGTTGGTGTGTACTCATAAAGTACACCGCTGTGAAGTTTGTTGAAAATTAGGAATTTTCATGGAACATACTGTTTCTTTCTTTTAATTTTTATACATTTCAAGCAACTTGCATTATGTAATAGCTTTTTCGGGGAAATCTCAATAACTTCGTACCTTTTTACGATTATCAAATTAACAAATATGACGTTTCATACAATATTTTATGCAAAATTGAAGTTAAAGTATCTTCTAAACCAATCATTTTTCGACATACATGGGTTGGTACTTTTTCGTACTCGTAGACTATGCCGAGCTGCATCGATTGATGCATCGAAAAGCATACGATTCTGTTTATGTCAAACTGAAAGTTGATCTTTTCCACCTACTTACGGCAAATTATGTGCCAGTTTGAAGCATTCAACTTTTCAAACGTCTTTTTGCATCACCGAAAATGAATTGGTAGATTAATCTGAATGGAATATCTTGTATTCTAATATTTATAATTTATTATCACTTTCTATATAAATATGTACGATTGTGTATACGTCTACGTTTACTTTTACTTAACTATTATCATATTATATATGTTAGTTATTATATTGTCATTAATTATTACGTGATATTATTACTATAATTAATTATTATTACGTTATCACATCTCGTTGAAAATGTCCATGTGAAAATGTCTCTAATTTAATTTTGACGAGACGAACCACTGCGGACGATCTAGTCGGGCGATTCAGCGATCCGACACACGTCTGATCCGACGTCACTCTGCGGAAACTCGAACGAGTATCGCGTGTAGGTACAACGGCGCGATCGGTTAATCGATCGAATACTCATACATGCATAAACGGCGAGACACAACCGGCGAAACGGAGCAAGGATCATCAAACTCACATACAAACTTTAATTACTTCTCACGATGAATTGCCGGATTGTGCGGTAAACTTGGCGAATGCAGGACGCACACCTGCAAACCGTTTCCGGCTTCCGTTCCTCGTCCGAAGGAACGTACCCGATCGCGCTGACGTCAGCTGCTGCTCCGTCGAGTATCGTGGCGCGCACCAC